GTAAGTATGGCATCTCATGTTTGAGAGGAAATCAGCATTTTAAAATACTATTATTTAGTATATGTTATTTCTGTATCAATTCTGAGAGAGGATGACTGCCTAGGCACTTAGAGAGTCCTCAAATTAAAGAACCCTATGTTCTCCTGCATTGCATGTGATTATGAAAAGGAGAAATAGAATTAACCTTTGTTGAGTGCCTAGTGTCTTAATTATAAGCATTTTTATGTGCATTATTTTTTGTCATTGTGAATGGGGTCTTTCTGGTTCCTGCTAATATTTATGTGACCTTCTTTCAAGAACAGAGCTGTCATTAGCCCCAGCAGCCAATCATTAAGCCTTGGCCATAGGCCTAGACTGGCACTGTGGGCTTCCTGGGTCCTCAGCCAGAATAGGGTTTCCAACTTACTAATAAAAAATGAGGTGATAAGAAAAATATAATTAGTGATCCTTTGACTAAGAAGGGGGTGAAAGACAAAGACCAAAAGAAGGCTATGGAGGCAGATGTTACTTGAGAAGGAAGCAAAAGGGTGTTTTTCTGAGACTTGATAAGTGAGAGGACCCTTAAGAGTAGGGAGTGGTGGGGAAGTTGGAAGTCAGGCTGCAAGGGCAGTGGATGTAGTAAGAGGAATCTGGCATGGGGGCGCTGATTTAGCCTCTTACCTGCAGTGGACAATGAGGAGGCTGCACTGCTGCATGAAGAGGCTACCATGACTATTGAAGAGCTGCTGACACGCTACGGGCAGAACTGTCACAAGGGTGCTCCCCACAGCAAATCTGGAGCTGGGACAGGCGAGGAACCAGGGTCCCAGGGCCTCAATGGGGAGGCAGGATCTGAGGACCCATCTAGGGAATCTTCTTCAGAGGAAAATGGTCCCACAGCCAAGGTCCACACAGGCCTTTCCTCCAACTCGGAACGTACAGAGGCAGGCCAAGGTGGTGAGCCTGGCATTCCCACTGGTGAGGCTGGGCCTTCCTGCTCTTCAGCCTCCGACAAGCTGCCTCGAGTTGCTAAGTCCAAGTTCTTTGAGGACAGTGAGGATGAGTCAGATGAGGCGGAGGAGGAAGAGGAAGACAGCGAGGTAAGGGCCTGTAGGGGCTGATAGATGGTGAACTTGCAGAGGGGCCTGTTTGGTTGCCATTCATAGCTGTTTGACTCTTTTCTATTTTGACATCCCCAAAGACCCACTATATGCTAAGCTTTTCTTGAATTCATTATCTCCACCAACACCGGTACCATTAACCCTCTTATCTCTTTCCTTTGATGATTCACTAACTAATAGATTTAGTGTGGCCTTGAAAGAGTCTGTCTCCTAGAGAGAGAATAGGAAGATGATGGTTGTTACTTTGGATATTTGGGTATTTCCTTTTCTGGACAACTTACTTTCTGGTCATGTTGCCTACAAAGTGCTTTTGGCTGATTGCCTTGGCCTTCCCCAGGGCTTCCTGCTAAAGACTGGTGAGTCCAGTTCAGGATATCATTTATTCCAATGCTAGCCCTCTCCCTTCCCCCATATTTCTCACCAAGATCATATAGTTGCATCTTTTAGGGTTTTGAGGACCTGTGTTCAGCAGGGCCTCTTTGTTTTGAATAGGAGTTGGGGGAGTGGGACAGGAGGTCATTCCGGTCTCAGTTGCCTGGGATCATCCCTCTGGCAGGAATGCAGTGAGGAAGAGGATGGCTACAGCAGTGAAGAGGCAGAGAATGAAGAAGATGAGGATGACACCGAGGAGGCTGAAGAGGATGAGGAAGAAGAGGAGGAGATGATGGTCCCTGGGATGGAAGGCAAAGAGGAGGTCTGTGGGGAGGGGGACCAGGGGGTTTAGGAGAATCAAGAGGCAGTTGTGAAGCCCCTGATTTTGATTTTGGGAGAGGGGATCCCCTTGCTATTTTAGTTTTGAAGTCATGGTCATGGGGGGATTATTTTCTGCAAAGGGAATGAGGTGTTTTGGGTAGAATTGTCTTAGGAAACAGGGAGCATACCATAGTTTCTGGAAATAATAAAATTTGTGATCCTCCTTTTTGTTAAAGCTCTCTTAGTGGACCTAGTGAGATGAGGAAGCATAGGTGAATGGTCAGGGGAGCACTGATGAGAAGCTCATGTTCAGAAGCTTCCATGATGCTTTCTTTCTCCTCCTCAAGCCTGGCTCTGACAGTGGTACAACAGCTGTAGTGGCTCTGATACGAGGAAAGCAGTTGATTGTAGCCAATGCAGGAGACTCTCGCTGTGTGGTGTCTGAGGCTGGCAAAGCTTTAGACATGTCCTATGACCACAAGCCGGAGGATGAAGTGGAGCTAGCACGCATCAAGAATGCTGGTGGCAAGGTTACCATGGATGGTCGAGTCAACGGGGGCCTCAACCTCTCCAGGGCCATTGGTAAGAACTAGAGACTATATATGGAAAGACTTTTGGGGTCTTTTTCTCTGCTTTATACTATGTAGTAGCAAATTTTAATTTTCATAGCCCTTATACCTTCCCAAATACTTTTGTATCTACTACCTGTTACTTTAAATGTCTCTATGAGATAGGTAATATGGGTATCATTTCTGGATGATGAAAAAAACAGGTTAGTGAATTACTTATGATTCAACCTAAAGTCAGGGTTGAAACTAGAAAGACTAGAACTCAGTTCTCCTATCCGTTAGATTATGGAAAGGAAGGAAATGAATGGCAAGGCTTCAAACACATGACTATGGGAAGTACCCAAACTATTCGTTAACCAACTATTCCTTTACTTCAGGAGATCACTTCTATAAGAGAAACAAGAACTTGCCACCTGAGGAACAGATGATATCAGCCCTTCCTGACATCAAGATGTTGACTCTCACAGATGATCATGAATTCATGGTCATTGCCTGTGATGGCATCTGGTGAGCCTGGCAAAATGCCTTAAAATTCCTTTTTCTGTAATATTCTCGTGTAGTGCTCTGAGCTGCTTTGGCTTTATTTTTATATTATTTTAAAAAATATATATTTCTATTGATTTTATTTACTAAATATATTTTTATTGATTTCACAGAGAAAGGGAGAGATAGAAACATCAACGATGAGAGAGAATCATTGATTGGCTGCCTCTTGCATGCCCTCCTACTAGGGATTGAGACCACAACCCGGGCATGTGCCCTTGACTGGATTCGAACCTGGGACCCTTCAATTTGATGCTCTATTGACAGAGCAGACAGGCTACAGCCTGCTTTGGCTTTATATTATCAATTGAATAACTGCATTCAGAATATTTTCTCAAGCTGCTCTAGGATTAGAGTTTAGGCAGATGGCTTGGTATCAAGACCCCCAGGCCTTAGGCAGAGCTTGAGGACAGTCTCTGTGTTTACATTGGCCAAGCTGTCACCTCTAACCATATGCCTCCACTCTGCTTTGGGTGGGACTAAAGAAGATTCTGACTATTGTTTCTGATCCCAGGAATGTGATGAGCAGCCAGGAAGTTATAGACTTTATTCAGTCAAAGATTAGCCAGCGTGATGAAAATGGGGAACTTCGGTTATTGTCATCCATCGTGGAAGAGGTGAGTCCCAGGTTGGAAGAGAATGTCTGGGCTGCATAGCCAAGGTTTTCTCTAAGACCAGAGCATAGGAGTATCTTTCATTAGTGACAGATGCCAAGCCCTGATTTAGAAAGTTTCACCTTCTTCATTTCCCTGACTTAACTTATGCCTCATGGACTAGCAAATGGGCTGTTTTGTAATACCTGTGATCCATTTCTCTCCTTCTGCCACCTTGTCTGGCACAGCCACCCCTCTAGTGTGACTTTAGGTTCCTGGAAAGGTGTTCAAACCTTAAAACTGTTACCCTTCCGTTTTGTAGCTGCTGGACCAGTGCCTGGCACCGGACACTTCTGGCGACGGAACAGGGTGTGACAACATGACCTGCATCATCATCTGCTTCAAGCCCCGAAGCACAGCAGAGGTTCAGCCCGAGAGCGGCAAGCGGAAACTGGAGGAGGCGCTTTCTACTGAGGAGGCGGAAGAGAATGGCAACAGTGACAATAAGAAGAAGGCCAAGCGGGACTAGTGGACTTGGTTGTCCAGACTCCTGCCCCTGAGACTGTTTTCTGAGCCCTCCGGACCTGAGACTGAGTTTTGTCTTTTTCCTTTAGCCTTAGCAGTGGTTGTGAGGTGTGCAGGGGGAACTGGGTGGCTTTACTCAGCCCATTCCAAAGAGGGCTCTCCCTCCACACAGCAGCCCGGGAGCCGCTGCTGCTCTCCCCAGCCGCCTCCTGCTCCTTGGGGCTCATCACTGGTTCTGTGCCTGTGCTCTGTTGTGTTGGAGGGAAGGACTGGAGGTTCTGGTTTTTACTCTGTGAACTTTATTTAAGGACATTCTTTTTTATTGGCGGCTCTATGGCCCCGGCCGCTTGCACCCACTCTCTGTTGTACACTTTCAATCAAACACTTTTTCAGACTAAAGGCCAAAACCTAATCGAACCGATAGTGTCCTTTTTTCTTTGCTGCTTTCCCATCCTGTCCTGGTCACTCAGGTTGCCTGGGCGCTTCAGACTTGACTATCAGTAGTAGCATCTACCTAGCCATTTTGGGGTTGGGGTGGGGTGTGTGTGTGTGTCCCACGCAAGTGTGTGTCCCACGTGAGCCTGCATGTCCAGTAGAGGGGGGCCCAGGTATTTTAGTTCCATGAGTTACTGGCAGGCTTTGCTTGCATCGCTACTCATCCTCACCCCCCTGTGGAGTCAGGAATAATCTCCTCCTCCAGGGAGGGATCGTGACTGCAGGCGGCCGATTGGAGGAAACCCGGTAGGGCTTCAGCCCTTGCCAGTCGTTTTCTAGCAGATCTCTGATTGGCTTCCTCCCTTCCTTTCGTCACAATCACTTCCTGGTCACGCTGCGAAAGCCCTGCTGTCTGCTTCCCACGGGCGGGACTACGCATCCCGTGCGGCTGTGCGGTAGCGGAAGCGGAAGCGAGTACGGAGGTACCAGCTGGTCTCCGCAGGGGGGGTAGGGGGCTCCATGAATGGACGCGGCGGCGGCGGCGGGAGCGGCCTGAGCTGGGCGCTGGGGCCAGGGCCGGGGGCTGCCCCGGGGCCGCGCCTCCGCATGGGGGCGGCTCGCGGGCCCTGAGGAAGGGCGGGCCGAGCGCCGGGCTGGGAGGGGCGGGGCCGGCGGCCGCAGGCCAGAGGCGCGTCGGGCTGGAGCCGGTCACGATGCCCCGAAGGAAGCAAAGCCACCCGCAGCCCGTGAAATGCGAGGGGGTCAAAGGTCAGGGGTCGCAGTGGGGGGAGGAGCGGGGGTGGGGTCTGTAGAGTGGGTTCGGGTCGCGGTGGAGGGGGACTCCTGAGGGATGGTGTGGGCGATGTGGGCTCCTGGCTTCCCACCGAGGTACCGAGGGAACCCGGGAGGGTCTGCAAGTCTGGGCAGTGCGGTCCGCGAGGTCAGGCCCCCGGGCGCGGATGGTGGGCACCGGTCCTGAGAGAGAAGCTAGCAGCCTTCTCCCCTCTTCAGTGGACACCGAAGACTCCCTCGATGAAGGACCGGGGGCCCTAGTGTTGGAGAGTGATTTGCTGCTAGGCCAGGATCTGGAGTTTGAGGAGGAAGAGGAAGAGGAGGAAGGTGACGGCAACAGCGACCAGCTCATGGGCTTCGAGAGAGACTCTGAAGGTGAGTTTTGGGGACTTCCCTGGAACCCCAGAACTTCAGAAGACCGGTTAGGTTTAGTGCCCGTGAGCAAAACACCGTTTCCTGCCACGGCCAGGGCTGTTTAGGTTAGGTTTGAGCTAGATTTCTTCACTTGCCTAATTGTCCAGTCAGCTCCATCACTTTGTTGAGGTGAAGTTCTGGGGCCTGGTCCAAAGGTGGTATGAATAGGACAGTGGAGGAGTCACTGGTTAAATGTCTTTTTTATAACCCTGTCCCACTCCGCAGCCCATTCCTTACGTGAGTTTACTTGTGAGAGGTTCAGGGAAGGAACTTCAAGCTAGTACTTCATGTTTAATCTCCCTTTCACCGATAGCTTAAGCTCCTTTTGTATGAAGGTTTTAGTCTCTATCTAAAGGATCATTCCGCATTTCCTCTCCCTGTTATCTCTGCACCACCCTATCCCAGTTTGCTGCGCTGCCCTCCCAGTCCTGCCCCTGTAAAGGGTGTTTGAGTCAGTGAGGGAACCCACCTGAACCATCCTTTAGGCTTAAAGGTGGTATTACATGCATTACTTCACTTCTGTTTCCCCCCCTCTTTTTATAATCGGGTCCATGTTAAAAAGAGACCATACTAATATATAGAGCTTAGAAAAGTTTCAGGCCTCTTATTTGTATCCTAAGAACCAGTCAATTATAGTATTGATTCATTGCAGTCTGTGGTCCATTGTGGTCCTTGATCTTTTCTCATTAAGTGGAACTAGGCACTAGGCTAATCCAGACACAGCAATAGACAATTCATATTTAATTTTCGGGATAGAGAAAGGTGGGGCCAAGCACATAGGAAGACCATGAGTGAGAAAAGGTGTTTGGAGTCTAGTCCTACCTAATGTTGATGTCTCTTCTCATGTCTGTCTCACCAGGAGACTCCAGGCCTGGGCCTCCCTACGAGCTGAGTGACGACGAGTCTGGGGGTGGTCGGGCGCTAAGTGCTGAGAGTGAAGTTGAGGAGCCAGCCAGGGGTCCAGGGGAGGCCAGGGGTGAGAGGCCAGGCTCAGCCTGCCAGCTGTGTGTGGGGCCGACAGGTGAGGGGCCGTGTTGTGGGGCAGGAGGGCCGGGTGGGGGGGCCCCGATGCCCCCACGGCTACTGTACTCATGTCGCCTCTGCGCCTTCGTGTCCCACTACTCGAGCCATCTGAAGCGGCACATGCAGACACACAGCGGGGAGAAGCCGTTCCGCTGTGGCCGCTGCCCCTACGCCTCAGCCCAGCTCGTCAACCTGACACGACACACTCGCACCCACACTGGCGAGAAGCCCTACCGCTGTCCCCACTGCCCCTTTGCCTGCAGCAGCCTGGGCAACTTGAGGCGGCATCAACGCACCCATGCAGGGCCCCCCGCTCCTCCCTGCCCGACCTGTGGCTTCCGCTGCTGTGCTCCTCGTCCAGCCCGGCCTCCCAGTCCCACAGAGCAGGAGGGGGCAGTGCCCCGGCGACCTGAGGGTAAGCTGCTGGGCACCAAAGAGCCTGGGACACGGGGATTTCCCTGCGGGTACTTGGATTCACCAGGTCTCACTGTTCCCACAGATGATGCTCTGCTGCTTCCAGATTTGAGCCTCCACGTGCCGCCAGGTGGTGCCAGTTTCCTGCCGGACTGTGGACAGCTGCGGGGTGAAGGGGAGGGCCTTTGTGGGACTGGATCAGAACCACTGCCAGAGCTGCTGTTCCCGTGGACCTGCCGAAACTGTGGACAAGAGCTGGAGGAGGGCGAGGGCAGTCGGCTGGGAGCCGCCATGTGTGGGCGTTGCATGGGAGGAGAGGCTGGAGGTGCCAGTGGGGGACCTCAGGGCCCTAGTGACAAGGGCTTTGCCTGTAGCCTCTGCCCCTTTGCCACCCACTATCCCAACCATCTGGCCCGGCACATGAAGACACACAGTGGCGAAAAGCCCTTCCGCTGTGCCCGCTGTCCCTATGCCTCTGCTCACCTGGATAACCTGAAGCGACACCAGCGTGTCCACACGGGAGAGAAGCCGTACAAGTGCCCCCTCTGCCCCTATGCCTGTGGCAACCTGGCCAACCTCAAGCGTCACGGTCGCATCCACTCTGGGGACAAACCTTTTCGGTGTAGTCTTTGCAACTACAGCTGCAACCAGAGCATGAACCTCAAACGCCACATGCTGCGGCACACAGGCGAGAAACCCTTCCGCTGCGCCACCTGCGCCTACACCACCGGCCACTGGGACAACTACAAGCGCCACCAGAAGGTGCACGGGCATGGCGGCACAGGAGGGCCTGGCCTCTCTGCCTCCGAGGGCTGGGCCCCGCCGCACAGCCCCACCTCTGTTTTGAGCTCTCGGGGTCCAACGTCCTTGAGCACCGCTGGTGGCCGGGCTCTCCATACAGACTCACCCTGAACTAGGGCCTTCTCCAGGGCTGTAGGATTAGCCCTGACCCTCCCGTAATGGACCAGAAGCCACCTTCTCTTTCCTCCCCCGCTGGCCAGGGGTTCCAACAGACTAACTTAGGCACTCTATGGACCATGGGGCCTTGCCTTGACTGGTGCACTTCATGAGCTCAGTGAGGAGGGCCCTGTATTCACCTCCACTGCTCCCAGGGGCTATGGAGAAACTGGCTGGGGGACTGCCCAGCCTCCCACCTGTTTAACTTATTTCAGTACTTTATAATAAAGGAAACACTAACAAAGCCATGTCTATGCTGAATTGGCAGTGGCAAGCACAGCTCAGCCTTCCATGCTAGGATGGGGGAAGCAGGGGCAGAGAGGGAACCAGAGATAGGCAGCAATCAGGCTGTTTAATGAGGGGAAAGTGGGCTAGACCATACACAGACCTCTGCCCATCCCCTTGGCCCAGGGCCCCGAGGAGCCAGAAACTGCTGGGGGGAACTATGGTTCCTCCTCAGGCAGGTAACCATGGTCCCGTGGACTTTGTGCAAAATACTAAATGCTAATTTGGCATCGAGGGCCAGCTCTGAAAAGGGGATAATCCTTTGTGCAGCCAGCCCCAGAGGGAAGGGAAGGTTAGAGGCCCCTGGCCCAGAGGAGAAAAGGGAAAGGTAAGGAGAAGACCCCTGGGTTTGGGGGATACAGGCACAGGGCAAGTTTTTGAACATTCCTCTGGGGTAGAGGGCAGACATCCTAGCACTGGAGATCACAGATCCTCATCTCCAATGCCCTCGAAAGCGAAATTGCCATGGACATCGCTGGCACTGGCATCTGTGCTGGGACTGCCAATTCCCCGCAAGCTCACGGCACTCAGTTTGCTCTGTAACAAAGGCAGGGTGGGGTCAGAGGGCGCAAGCCTCCCTGAAATCCCCCTACAAACACCCACTTCACCAGCCCTCATGGGAAACTCACTGAGAGTTTGACCATGGACTCCCGGCTGGCATCAGGTGATTCCTGGGGAAAAGGCAGAGATGTCAGAAAAAGGCTTCTCATATCCCCAGGATGGGGGCCAGGTACTGATATTAACACTTACAAGCAGTGGTGGGGATTTCACTGCTTGCTGGCTGTCTGAGCGTCTCAGGGTGCCCCCAACCCGCCGGCGCAGCATCTGAGGATGGAGATACAAGGCACTGAGAAGGGCAGGACCACTCCCTTGGGAATCCCTAGCCCTTCCCCCTCCCTCACACATGGTTCAAAAGACAAGGTAGAGCACAGCTACTTAGCCACGTGGTCTACATTTGCTACTTACTTTTCTGATACTGCCGCCGGATTTCTTCACCATCAGCTCATCTACCATGGACTGCAAACAGATGCTCATCATGATAGCCTGAGGGTGAAAGGAGGGCTCAGCCTAGAGTTGCCATCCTGAGCCCGGTACCCCTAAGACAAGGACTCCCACTCACATGCAGTCCTGGAAGCCCTAGACTTGGGTATCTAATAGAGGCGGTGCAATGGGGTCCAGAGGCCTGAGGGTGTGCTCACACCTGGGGGCTGGTGATGGTGACCCACTGGAGCCGGTCCTTGCTCATGAGGTATTCAAAAGCCAGTTCCAGGCGCACCTCGCCCCGGCCCCGGCCCGGGCTGCTTGTGCCTCCGCTGGGCAATGGCACCTGGGAGAGAAAGGGATTAGGCCAAGTTCATTCTGACCAATCTGCCATGCTCTCTTCTGAAGCTGAAGGCTTGTCAGACCTCCGCCCCGAAAGGCTTCTCCCTTCCACCCCAACTCACAGAGGAGGTGACCCGCCAGCACCGCATGCGGGTGACCCGGAAGGAGCCTTCGCGGAGCTGCTGGCCGGGCAGGCGGAGCTGGAGGCTGAGCTCGCTGTTGCCTGCGCTCACCACTACCGGACAGTCCTTCTCTGGGAAGTCAGCCACACAGGCATCGAAGCGCAAGTAGCCATAGTGCCGCAGTGTCTGAGCCAGCCGCAGGAACTGAAACCCAGTCACCGCGCGGGGTTGGTCAGGAGGGGAAGCAGGGCAGCTCACAGGAAGCAACCCCTTGAAGGGAGACAGGCAGAGCTCACCTCCTTCTTGGAGACCTTCTCTTGCAGTGATTTGAGTTGCCGGTGCTGCTCCTTGGTCACCAGGATCCACCCACGCTCAATGTCTGATACTGTCTACAGTGAAGACAGGGCTCTGAGTCAGAGGTACAGGAAGTGTCTACTTCTACCCAGCCTGACCCCTAACCCCACATTTGAAGAACCTCTTTGGAGTGAGCCCTTGACCATAATCAGATGTTGGGTCAGGTACCCTGCTAATATTCTAGGAACTTCTCCCATGGAGAAAAGTCATGAAAGGAGTTTTCCTGGCCGAGGGAAGACCAGAGTTGTTTTCAGAGGAAGGGTTCTGAAGCACCTCCAGGCTTACCTGAGCATAAAGCAGGTTTAGGCCAACCCGGTTCTCCATCACATCATCATCATACGCAGAGTCCCAGTAACTGTGAAGCCAAGGGGTGGAAAGGGGTAATGGTAATGGGACTGCGCTGGGGTAAGGCAAGAGGTTGAATGGAAAATAGGGGCAAAACAGGAACAATCTAGAACTATCAGGCTAATGGTGGCACGATGGGAGGGAAGCTTGGTACAAACACCCAGTGCTACCCCCTCGACCAGAGTATTCTGTCTCAATACATGGCCCAAAATTTCAATCTAGCACTTCCCCATTCTCCAAGCCCAGCCCTGACCTCTTTCTTAGCACAATCTTATACTCTTGACTCCGAAGACTGGTAACTGACACATAAGGCAGCTCGAACTCTTGCAACTTCCGTACAACTACAGGTTAAAAATAAAAAAGGAAAATGTCATGAGACTCAAGGGGAAGGGAATCAAGAGGGAAGCCCTGAGGAAATGCCAGGGGGGAGATGGAGGCAAATTCACTACTGGAAGCTCAGGGTAGCAGTAAAGTACAGAGAAACTCACAAGAAAAGGCTCCATCCTCTTTTTCTCGAACTAGAAAGAGACTAAAGTATCCAATCAAGTCATCTGGAAGATCCAGCTTTGCAGCCACAGCCTGGGGGTAAAGGAGGAAGTACAGCTCATCATACTGGCTGGTTCCAATCAACCCCCAAACCAGGGATCTGGGGTGCAGGGGTACTGCAGAACTAGTGCCTCACCTCCAGGACATCTTCAGTCTGATCTGAAGTGAGCACATTAACCAGAACTTTCTGCCCGTTGCTGAGCAGCACTTCCAAGGAGACCTCTTCTGTGGGGACCTGCTGAGTCTCCTGGGAATGGAAGCCACCACTTGGTTAACCCCTGCCCTACTCCCTATGTCTAGGTTCCGCTGGTGTCTTTATTCTCAGCTGCTTAATTACATGTTTCCCTGATTTCATTGGTACAGCAGAAGCCCCATTCCATTAAAAAAAAAAAAAAAAAAAAAATGGCGCTAGGATGACTCCTCCGTAGCCACTTCATTAAAGTGATGTGGCCCTACAGGTAGGCCCTTCCCTTAAATCTTGACCCCACTCCCAAGCCTCACCTGTTGTGCTCGACGCAGGAAACTATTGAAGGTCTCACTGCTCCCAAGCAGTGGGTCTTGCCGGACTGCAGGGGCAAGAAAATGATGTTCCAGTAACTTAAAGACTCTTCCTTAGCTCCTCCCAGTTATCTTGGTAAGTAACCCCTTTCCCCCACCCCAATCTCATTTCCTGAGCTGAAGGTGGCCTGTCACACTGGCCTCCTCTCACTCACTGTTTGCATAAATTCTTTACCTGCTCCACCCTTCACTGCCATCTAGTTGATCAGTCTATGGACTAGGGAAATAACGATGATGTCCATTGAAAGCACATCAGATTTGAATTAAGTTCTCCCCACCGATCTAAACTGCTTTAAGACTATTCAGTGTCATATGAATATTTCTCAGAGATGGTAGTGCTGGGTTGCTTTGCTAATATTTATAGCATCGTTGCATGCTACTTACTCTTGCTAATGAAGTACAGATCACACAAGAAGCTTTCCACATCTCGAATTTAGGACCTTCTGCAGAGCCAGCTAACAGGTCTCTCCCCATAGTCCTCAACACAGCCAGCCCGAAGTTCCCTCCAACCACTCACCAGCTTGCATGTACTTCTCTAACTGCTCTCGCCTCTGTTCTACCTCAGCAGGTGTCAAAGAGAAGAGCTTCTTTGGGGGAAATGCAGGAAGTACATTGGCCCCATACTCCTTCCGAAGCTATTTAGAGAAAGATACAACCCTTCAAATACATAGCAAACAAGAACAGACAATCCACACTCAATGTTGTTTTGGGCTCCCTTTCCCTTCCCTCAGTCCCTGGTCATCCACGAAGCAATTCCTTTGGCGGAAGTAGCACTCAAATAAAGCCGCCCCTCTGTCCTAGACATAAGTTCTTTCCTATCTGTGTACAAGTCAGCCCCTTTGCAATGTGGGGAGGGTTTGTATGGGACCCAGGGAGCCCCTTGATTATGTAGAGCAAGACTGTGTTCATTGGGTCCTCACAGGGGGCAAAGGAAAATTTCCTTTAAAAGGAAAATGTATTGTGGGACTTATAGAGGCTTCACAGAGCAACAAGTCCATTTTTCAGTTATAGAAACTGAGGCCCAAAGAAATTAGGTAACTTGCTCAGGGTTGCACAACTAGTTATCAGTAGAATCAGGACTCTGTTAAATACATAGTTCTCAATCTGGTGAGAATAGCAAAGAAACATTGCATCACAGATACATAAAGATAACCGGAACAGTTACACTGGGATGAGCTACAGAACACAGAAGGAAACTGGTTAATGGTTTGTACAAGCAGGGAAAAGAATCTCAAGTTGCAGCTCAGATGACAGAAAAGAATGTGCTTTGGCAGCTGAAAGGGGGGTGGGCGGGAGGTACTTTTTCAAGCACAGGCAAAGCCTGGAGCAAGCCGGGGGCAGAGAAGCAGGAAGGAGAAGTGAGAATACGGAGTAACAGAGGGCAGACATTCAGCTTCCTAGGGAGTTCCCCGGAAACGTCAAACGATAAGATAAAGTCACAGGTCCACCCCTTAGCAGTGACTCCAGAGGAGCTACAGCCTACAGGAAAGCGGCGAGGGGAGACAAGGAGACGTGGATGACCAGAGGAGGGCCTGAAGCTGCCTCAAGGCAAGGGTGCTCGTCCCACCTGCTCGTGCAGCCCCAGGAGTTGGCTGTAGCGCACCCGACAGTGCAGGACTCCATTCACGTGAATGTTATAGGCCTGAGGACACAAAAGCAGGCAAGCATTTTAGGGTCGCGGTACGGGGAGACCCCCTTGAATAACCCCGGTCGGAAGTTGCCTGGCACAGCTCCACTTAAGTAACGCGCCAAGACCTTCCGAGGGTTTGTCAGTCTGCTTTCCCCAGGTCCAGGTCCCAAAGCAGAAGGGCCCGTCCTGGGGAACTGGGCGCTCGCGTCGCAGTCTCTATCCCCAGGAGGCCAGGGACGCCCACCACTGCGGCCGCGGCCCAACCGAGGACCTACAGGAGCTGGGGCGACCTGTGGACGAATCTGGGATGTGACAAACTCCCAGCAAGGACGTCGGGAGTCGGCGGCCTGGGAACAGACCCGAAGGCGGCAGCAAGGCCTCGGAGGCCGCTGAGAAAGGGCTCCGGCCCGTTATCCCCGCCCCTGCCCGGCCGGCTCCAGCCGCTCCTCACCACGTAGGCGGAGCCGCCGCTGTCCCCGCTGCGGGACTCGGTTTCAGGAATGGAAAAGTGCATGTTCCCTGCGGCAGGGCCCCGGCCAGGCACCCGACTGGGAGAACGCGGCAGCTTTGCACGCTCGCCTCCGCTGCTCAGCACGTCCCCGCAGCCTCACTCGCCATTTTGGGGGCGGGGGTCTGCGATCGGATGCGGGAAGGGCGGTGGGACGTCCGCTCGTGGGCGCGGCGCGCGGGCATGCTGGGAATTGTAGTCTAAAGGGCGGGGAGCGGGCATGCTGGGAATTGTAGTCTTAAAGGGTGGGAAGAGACTGCCGGAACCGGAAGTTGCCAATGGAGATGACTCTCATCGCCACCCGTAGTCCGCGGCGCGCCGGTGCATGCCGGGAATCGTAGTCGGCGGGAGCTGAGGGCCGCGGGTGCCAGCCGGGAGGCGCTGGAGTCCCTGTGACCGTGGGGCGGAGCCTAGGATCCAGGGAGATGGCTGCCGCGGCTGTGGCGGTGCGCAAGGGTGAGTGAAGGACCGGCCGCGGGTGTGCCAGCCGACGGACTCCGGACACTCCCGCTGGGCCTTGAGGCGCTTGGGGCGCTGTCACTCGGTGCCGGCAACGCTGGTCCGCCTTGCCTCCGGCGCCGTCCGGAGCCGCGGACCGCCGGTGCCAGGGAGAAGCGTGGGTGCCCCTCTTTTCCTTCCCCCGCCTACCCTTTGATCCTGCCTCGCACTGCGTCCCCACGCGAGCCCTTGGCTGGCCTCCCGCGTGCCGGCGGCGCCGTGGACATGCCGACCCGCCGGCCAGCTGCGCTCCGTACCGGTCCCCTCAAACCCTCCCAGAGCCTCTCGGGCTCACTGTGTGCCCTGTTTTCTGATGCAGACTCGGCGTCTGGGATGAAGGCGGAGCTTTCTCCTCGGCCTGGGGTAAGTGAGGGAGCCCTCCCTAGCCGCCTGTCCAGCGCTGCTCTGGAGGCTGTATCTGCTTCATCCCGCCCCAACTTCCACCCGTGTTTCACTTGACTTCTCCGTACAGCCAGGAGATGTTAGAGTCTCTATCCCCCCAACCGGATGTGACTTGGTTCCGTGCGGGGCTAGAGTTAGGGAGGTCTGGAGACTGCCTTCTGGGTATCTTGTGAGCGCCCCGCAGTGTTGATTTCCCTTTGGACGTGATGGGCAAGAGCAGTGTTGTCTGTGTCTCAGGCAGCAGGGAGGGAGCTGACCCAAGAAGAGAAACTGCAGCTTCGGAAGGAAAAGAAACAGCAGAAGAAGAAACGGAAGGAGGAAAAGGGGGCAGAACCAGAAACTGGTTCTGCTGTATCTGCAACCCAGTGTCAAGGTGTGGGGGCTTTTTCCACGGGGCTGGGTGTGGGGCTGGGAGAGGGATGCCTGGCAGAGGAGTGTGTGTGTGTGTGGGGGGGCCGGGCAGGACAGACTGGGTTTGAGCCAACGAGGAAGGAAGAAGTTTAGACAGACAGGGAGAGCATATCTATGCTTTCTTACTTTGGGTAATAAAGTAAGAAAGCATAGGTATTACCAGCCTGGGGGTTGGGCATTTCTTCTCTCTCGTTAGGAGGCCCAGCCAAGGAGCTGCCAGCACCTGGCAGTCAGTTGGGTACTGCTGGAGAGAAAGTGCCAGCTGGTCGGAGTAAAGCGGAGCTTCGTGCGGAGCGGCGAGCCAAGCAGGAGGCTGAGCGGGCCCTGAAACAGGCCAGGAAAGGTGAACAAGGAGGGCCGCCGCCTCAGTCCTGCCCCAGTACAGCCGCCGAAAGCCCCTCAGGTACCTTCCTTTCGTCGTAAGACCTCTGTTGGACTCTAATTCTTGTGTCAGCACAGGCGTCTCCATAGTAAAAAGGCTCTAGTTTCCTATTTTTTTAAAAATATTTTTTTATTGATTTTTTTACAGAGAGGAAGGGAGAGGGATAGGAAGTTAGAAACACCGATCAGCTGCCTCTTGCACGCCCCCCACTGGGGATGTGCCGGCAAACGGGATACATGCCCTTGACTGGAATCGAACCTGAGACCTTTCAGTCCACAGGCCGACTCTCTATCCACCGAGCCAAACCGGTTTCGCCTAGTCTCCTATTCTTTGCCTAAGTTCTCAGAGTTCAAAATTCTCCCCTCAACCTCATCTTACCCTGATTTCTTCTATTTTTTTACCCCTCCTATCCAGTTTTTTTGGATGTCTCTAAAAAAAAAAAAAAAAAAAAAAAAAAACAAAAAAACCCCCCAAAAAACAATAAAGAAAAAAGAAAAATTTTCAACGTCATCTACAGAACGTTAAAAACACGATCGTTGTTTTTTAGGAGTGAAACATCTCCCTGAGCACACCCAGGCTGATGACCCCACACTCCTGAGGAGGCTTGTTAAAAAACCAGAGCGACAGCAGGTAGGAAGTGGTGTGTGGCTGGGAAGAGCCCAGGGAGATGGGACGGAGGGAGGAAAGGTGCTTGGGACAAAATGAGACCCTGGAGGATGGGTACTTGGGACAGAGTAGTTTCACTGTTTACTTCCTTTCTAGCTTCATCACCTAAGCTTTAAACCCTTAAGCCATTGGTTTTATTCCCTTATTTTACCAAGGTTCCTACACGAAAAGATTATGGATCCAAAGTCAGCCTCTTCTCCCACCTACCCCAGTACAGCAGACAGAACTCTCTGACCCAGAGTATGAGGTAGGATCTTCCACCACGTCTAAGGGGTTTCAGTGTTACGTATTGAAAGGAACTGGACATTTGAGACTGGGTCTGTGGGCAGAAGCATGCACACAAGGCAGAGCTGTAGTGGAAATGGGGGTGTGTGTGCTAGTGAAGGAAGTTCCTTTTCGTTAGGGGCAGGTGGGCAGTAAGTGCTCAAGCTCCCTTGCACAGTGTGTGACACCGCCATCCCATCAGCATCCCATCCTCTGTGATCCACCCAGCCATGGTGCGCCTCGGCCTGCAGTATTCCCAGGGCCTGGTCAGTGGCTCCAATGCCCGGTGCATTGCCCTGCTTCGTGCCTTGCAGCAGGTATGCCGTCCTGTCCCAGCCCCAGCTTCCCCTATCCGCCTTCCAGAGACCTTTATTAGGGGGTATTTTGTTGATCAGCTTGTGTACACTACAGGTGATTCAGGATTACACAACACCACCAAATGAAGAGCTCTCAAGGGATCTAGTCAATAAACTAAAGCCCTATTTCAGGTAAGGGCAACCACTACAAGCCCACTCCCAGCTCACCTAGTCCTTTTCTTGTACCCTTTCTCTTGCTCTTCTATGTCTTTTTCATCTTTCTGTTCTCTGTCTTCTTCTTAATTTATTTTTTAAACGTGGCAGCTTTGTGAATTGTGAAGAGTCGCACAAATACAAGGTGTTCTCGTTTTAGCTTCCTGAATCAGTGCCGCCCCCTGTCGGCAAGTATGTACAACGCCATCAAGTTCCTTAACAAGGAGATCACGGGTGTGAGCAGCTCCAAGCGGGAAGAGGAGGTGATGAGTATGAGAAATGAGCAAGGCATGCACCTGGGTGGAGCTGAGAAAAGTATTCAGGACTCTTAGGAGGGACAGCGTGGCCATTCTGCCCGGGTCAGGGGTGGAGGAAGTGGTTGGGCTGTTTGAATTGTGCCATCTTTGGGTCCCCTTCAGGCAACCTCGTCCTCCTTGAGCCCATCATTATATACACGTTCAAGCACCTGGCATGGTCATCAGGAAGAAATGTGTTCATTTCTTGTTCCCTAAGCATCTCACTCCGTTTAGGCCAAGTCAGAACTTCGAGCAGCACTTGATCGGTATGTGCAAGAGAAGATTGTGCTTGCAGCTCGGGCAATCTCACGCTCTGCTTATAAGAAGATCAGTGATGGCGATGTGATCCTGGTGTATGGATGGTATGGTTCAGTCGCTATGACTGAGAAAATTGGAGAGGGGGTGGGGGGCAGAGGAAGGGTGCTGCCCTTCAGAACGAGCTGGCCATCAGCCAGTGACATTATAACTACATCATCCTGTCCATTCACCCCAGCTCATCTCTGGTGTCACGGATTCTTCAGGAGGCTTGGATGGAGGGCCGGCGATTTCGGGTAGTAGTGGTGGACAGCCGGCCACGGCTGGAGGGAAAGCACATGCTACGCGCTCTGATCCGTGCTGGAGTCCCTGCCTCCTACGTGCTGATTCCTGCGGCCTCCTATGTGCTCCCAGAGGTGAGGGCAGAGAAAAGGGACCCCAAAGTTGGAGTAAACCCTTTTGGGATCCCACCTTCCAAGGGTTACAATTATTTAGAAATATTAGAATTGGATAGCTCTGCTTATATTTAATAAGGAAGACACTAGAGTGTGCTGTAACAGTCTAGTTACTGAAGAACATTATATTAAACTAGCAACCACCAAGAGGGAACAGGACAAAAAGTAACTTCAGAGTCTCATTTTCTGTGGCAGGTGCAATGGGTCATTGGTCAGGTATTTTCCAAGAGCCCTCATTAAGGTTTGTTAGTCATTGTCTTAATATTGCTGTCCTGGGCAGGAGTGGGGGACCTGATACTGCATTGATTACACGTGACATTCTCACCTCTCTCCCCCCCTCCAAAATAGGTTTCTAAGGTGCTATTGGGAGCTCATGCACTCCTGGCCAATGGGTCCGTGATGTCTCGGGTGGGGACAGCACAGCTGGCTCTGGTGGCACGAGCCCATAATGTGCCAGTGCTGGTCTGCTGTGAGACGTACAAGTTTTGTGAGCGTGTGCAGACTGATGCCTTTGTCTCCAATGAGCTAGGTAAGGAGGCTCAGGAGGGTAGAAAACAAGGTTCCAGGGACTGAAATTTGGGAGAGGGGAGGTTGAACTGCAACGTGTTTTCTAAAAGGACATAAACGGGTACACCTCCGTTGCAGATGACCCTGACGACCTGCTGTGTGAGCGAGGAGAACATGTGGCACTAGCTAACTGGCAGGACCACAAGTCGCTGCGGTTATTGAACCTGGTCTATGATGTGACTCCCCCAGAGCTCGTGGACCTGGTGATCACAGAGCTGGGGATGATCCCCTGCAGTTCTGTACCTGTTGTCCTACGAGTCAAGAGTAGTGACCAGTGAGTGGAGGAACACCCGGTCAATAAAGGACATATCTCTTCACCCAGCAACTCTGCTGCCTTTGTCTCTTTTTAGCATCACCACCACTAGGTTAGGAGTCCAGACTCCCCAAATCCTCTTGGCACTTGCTACCAATCTCAGACTTTTACAGAGACCCTTTCAGGCGATTGGCTCCATGCCAGTGTTTTGAGGCCAAGGTGAAGGTCAGTATGGAGACTAAACACTATTCCAAGTCTTCAGTCTTTTATCAAGCATCTGAGTGCCAGATACTGAGTTAAATATGAGGACTGTAAGGACAAATAAGAGTCCTAACTTTAGAAGTATGAATTAATATTATATTTAAATTAATAGTTTAATATGTAATTAAGTAATTACATATTAATAAGTAATATCAGTATTGACTATTTACTGTGTGTCAGAAATGGTTCTAATTCTTTCTTATCCATTTGTGCAGCTTTATCAAACTCTGTGAAGAGATTTTAGAGATGAGCAAATAGGCACAGAGAGGTTATTTGCCAAGGCAACACAGCTAAGGCACAGAGAAGTTAAGTTACTTTCCCAGGATAACACAGAACTAAACCAGCATGTGATCTCAGGCACTTTGAATTCAGAGATTGTGTCTTTAACTTTAAAAAAAAATTTTTTTTTATTGATTTTTTACAGAGAGGAAGGGAGAGTTGGAAACATCGATGAGAGAGAAACATCAATCAACTACCTCCTGCCCACCCCCTACTGGGGATGAGTCCGCAACCAAGATACATACCCTTGACTGGAATCGAACCTGGGACCCTTGAGTCCGCAGGCTGACGCTCTATCCACTGAGCCAAACCAGTTAAGGCTGTGTCTTTAACTTTTATCAAGGAACATTCATCATGGTTATCTTAAAATAGCTTTGTACAGTTGATTCATTTGAATCAGGGTCCAAACAAATCCATACATTAAATTTGATTGTTGTCTTAATTTTCTTGTAACTTGAAGCAGTCTTCCCCACCCCTTATTTTCTCTCTCTCTTTTTTTTTTTTTAATATATTTTATTGATTTTGTACAGAGAGGAAGGGAGAGAGATAGTTAGAAACATCGATGAGAGAGAGTCATCGATCAGCTGCCTCTTGCACACCCCCTACTGGGGATATGCCCGCAACCAAGGTACATGCCCTTGACCTGAATCGAACCCCCGGGTCCCTTCAGTCCCCAAGCCGACGCTCTATCCATTGAGCCAAACCGGTCTCGGCTTATTTTCTCTTTACATTGACTTGTTCCAGAAACCAGATTGACTGTTTTCATACTGCCTCACATCATGAGGCAAATAAAAATGGTTGCTTGTTCCATTTTCAGTGATGAGTGGGTCCAGGCATTTTGAAATTTCCCATCCACTATGACTGTTGCTCAAATTATGTTATCAGGGAATGCAAAATGGTGATTCCACCTTCCCCCTCAATTCTATCATTCTTTCCACATAACTAGCTGATAATCCTATATAATAAAGAGGTAATATGCAAATTGACCCTCACAAGATGGCTGCCTGTGACGAGGCTAGTAGGGGGGTTACTGAGGGATGACCAAACAACCGAACAGCAGGCTGTATGGGGCGACTGGGCCAGTGAGTGGGAGCAGGCAGAGGTGACCGGGCCAGGAGGGGTGCAGTTGAGGGAAACCAGGCTGGCAGAGGGATAGTTGGGGGCAATTGGGCTGGTGGGGGAGGGCAGTGAGGGGTGACTAGGCCGGGGGAAAGGGGACAGGCAGTTAGGGGTGACCAGACAGGCAGGTGAGTGATTAGGAGCCAGCAGTCCAGTATTGTGAGAGGGATGTCCTACTGCCAGTTTAAGCCTGAACTCAATCCTGGGGATTGGGCCTAAACCGGCAGTCAGACATCCCCCAAGGCAGGGGTCCTCAAACTTTTTAAAGTGGGGGCCAGATCATGGTCCCTCAGAGAGCTGGAGGGCCGGACTATATGAACTACTAATTCCTACTGTAACACCTCGGCTGCGCTCACTGCCCAAAAAACCTGGCGGGCCGGATCAGACTCCTCTGCGGGCCGCATGTGGCCCGCAGGCCGTAGTTTGAAGACGCCTGCCCCAAGGGGTCCCAGATTGGAGAAGGGTGCAGGCTGGGCTGAGAGGACTCCCCCTCTCCCATGAATGAATTTCATGCACCTGGCCTCTAGTATTCTATAAAAAACTCCCTCTTTTAAAAAAAAATATACTTAAAAAAATTTTTTTTTATTTCAGGGAAGAGAGAGAAACATCAATGATGAGAATCATTGATTGGCTGTCCCCCTGCATGCTCCACATGCACCTGGGCATATGCCTCCTTATATGTCGACACTCAACCACTGAACCACGTGTGAGAAATCTCTCTTAATTTTGATGATTGAGTAGTATGCTCAATATCAAAACAATGAATTCATAACAATCTTTTAAAAAGAGATAAAAAGTAAAAAAATCAAGTCATTATATACCACTGTAAGTATCTAGTGATCAGTCCCTGAAAACTGGCAAATAAGAAGTTAAAGCATTTTTACTGCCTTTCCAATATTCCAATATAATTCAGAATAATAGCTCATGAGAAAAGAAAAACGCTGATTAACAAGAAACTGCCCGTGTGGATGTGGTCTGGGAGGCTGGAGGCATAGGTGGGAGTCTTCATTTTATACCTTTGCTTTCTATATTGAATTTTGAACCATGTGACTGTCTTATTACTAAAATAAGTACAATTATTAACATAAAAGGACGTTGCAATTGTTCAAGTCAAAGATAGCCTACTCTGAGGCAACAGGAATGAAGAGAAGACAGATCTGTACATTTCAGAAGCACTTAAGATCTGATGTACTGGGGAACCACACCTCAAATGCACCAACTTTGTGCCCTCATAAAGGAGTTGGTCCTAAGCCATAGAGGTGGTGGGAGGATGGGAGACTCGTTATTCCAGTTTATAAAAATCTTAGCTAGTTGACCTATGTATGAACCAGGAGAACATGATTCCCAGTCAGGGCTCATGACGAGGTTGTGATCTTAATCCCCAAGTCAGCAGGAGGCAGCTGATTAATAATATTCCCATCATTGATGCTTCTCCCCCTCCCTGTCTCTGAAATCAATAAAAATGTATTTTAAAAAATCTTAGCTGAAACCGGTTTGGTTCAGTGGACTGAAAGGTCCCTGGTTCGATTCCTGTCAAGGGCATGTACCTTGGTTTCGGGCATGTCCCCAGTGGGGGGTGTGCAAGAGGCAGCTGATCGATGTTTCTCTCTCATCGATGTTTCTAAGTCTCTATCCCTCTCTCTTCCTCTCTGTGAAAAATCAATAAAATATATTTTTTAAAAAATCTTAGCTAGTTCCACCCAAGCTTTCCTTAAAATGTTTTCTGTAAGCAAGGTTTCAATAGGTGAGATTTGTTAATAAATAAAACATTTAAACCTGTAAATAATTCTTGTGAGTTTGAGCCAAGCTCTCGACAATTGCAGGAAAGCAGGATCTCAACGTATTGAGATAGTGCTCCAGAGAAAGGCCATCTTTCATCTTGTTTTATACACTACAATCAAAAGAGGAGATCCAGGTGGGTTACATCAAATCCACTGGTGACAGATTAGGGAGGCAGGAGAAAGCAAGAGGGAACCTCTGAGATTGGATAAAAAGTAAAATGACAGACACGTGTTTCCTTTACACAGGTGAGTGCAGGGTCGGTAAGTCAACAATTAACATAACGAGGGAATTTATGATCTCTACCCAGGCACCAACGGTACCGGTGCATTGGCTGTGTCCTGAGGGTTCCGGAAAAAGGGAAATTACAAATTACAGTACCCTGATATTCCAGTTTTGTTACCTTAGATGCAAAAACAAGCTGTCTCAGTAAAGATCAAAGTTGATCTTTGTTAAGGAAGATACTGGCCTAGGACAAGACTACCCTCTCGAAACTTTGTAATTAAAGGTTTTAATTTCAGACCATTCTTTGTGGTTTCTTTAGGTCCCTTGAGTTTGCAAGGCCGCCAAGCAGGCCTTCCCTGAGCTAGTCAGGTTAGCATGTGGCCTCTTTACCACACCCCTCCCAGGATGTATTTATACATTCTAAACACTCCTATTGTCTGTGGAGACGCGCGAAATTTTATGGCTTTAAGTGCTTCAAGAAAGGACAGAATGTATCACATTCTTCATTCCCCCGCATCCCACCTCCTAATGAGGGAGTGAGGCAAAGCCGGAAACCAAGGCTAATGTCCAAGCCAGAGTCTCACTCAGCGCAGGCTTTTCAACTCCTCCTTTCCTTTCCTTTTCCTCCTGGACTTCACTAGCGGCTGCACCTGCAGGAGGGGGGCGGTGCCCCCTCGGCGGAGCCCCGAGTCCTGGCGCCCGTTTCATGGATTCTTTTGTCTCCCAGTTTCTGTCTTTGGCTCCAACGTCGCAGGTAAATCCTCACATCCGCCCTGGCCCAGCCCGCCATAGACCCAGAAGAAAAGCCTGGGGAGCAGCACACTCGAGTAGAGCGTAGAGGCCGCGTGGGAACCCCGGTGGGCGCGGCGAGCGTCACCGCGCAGGCGCCAACCTTACCTTCCAGACACTGCAATTCCCATAAGGCCTTGCAGCACCCTCCGCGCTGCCGGAGCCGGGAGCTTCTCCCGCTCCGAAAGGGCCCGGGAACCCTCGCCGCATTGCATTGTGGAACACAGTGCAATAGAAAACTCTCTGGCACACACCCGCAACCAAACTCACGTGTTTACCTTTGTGCACTGCTACCGGAGGTCGGGGATGGGCCGTCAATGAAGAGTAGCTACGAGATTACGTCATAAAGCCGCGACCAGACGGGCGGCGCCATCTTCGAACTTGGACTTCCGGAAGGACTTTGGTGAGGGTGAGTGTACAGCCGTGGGGTGTGCGGGGGCCCCCCACGATTACTCCTCCTCCTTTTTCGGTGGCGCCAAAATATTGGCTCCGCTGTTCCCATTCTACACAGCATCGCGACCTCCAGCCCCTGGGCGGCTGCTATAGGAACCATCAAGCTCCCCACTTCCTTACCCACCGTGGCCAGAATGCATCCCCCATCTCTGCAAACCACGGCCTCG